ATTAGCCTGGCTTCTGCTTGGCTTCTGTTTGGAAATTTAAATATTGACATTACAGATGTTTCTACCTAGTTCACATCCGTTACATTTACAGGCCAGATTACAAAGGATTTGGAGGCAGTGAGTGGAGTTTTGCTGAAATGCAGATGATTAATCCCAAGAAAGGATGGCTGAAAGTTTGCCATCAGCAAGTTCTCAAGTTTGCCCAGAACTGAACACATCTGGAAGGAAAGGAACTTAAAAACTGCTCTGCTGAGCTATACCCAAAGCTGAGTGTTCCATCTCCAGTAGGAAGGACTGGGAAAAGCTCTGAAATGCTGGTTTTAGCAAATAAAGGAGGCTTGTGCATTCTTTAGCTTCCTTTGACTCAGAGGCTTCCTCATCCACAGTTTCATTCCAATTTATTATTTTGTTTTCCGCAAGAGCTCATAGCAGTCAATTCCATAATTAAATATGTAACATTTGACATTTCAAATCTCCTCTAAATCTAAGTATTGCTGTGAGTGCTGGAGCTATGAATCAAAAAACATCAGGTTCAAACATTTAATTTTGAGATAGTTTTGAGGTTAATTTTCTGATATATTTCTGCTTTGCAGGTCAGATCTATAGATACTTCTAAGTTTATATTGCAAAAACCCAACTCAATAAAAAAATAAATTAACATTTATGCACAACACTCTAACTTCTGTGAGAAAAAGACTCAGTTGTCACCCTAACCCTGGTGCAGGCAGAATCAGAAGACTGGAAAACTCCAGATTCTACTTTTACCTAAATAAAAAGATATTATGCCCTTTACTATCCTTTGCTAATCTCTCCTTTTGACTTTTTTAAACATTTTAAATCTTTCAGCAAAAAGACAACTTGTAAACACACCCTTTGCTATCCCTCTGTCCCCTGGGATTTATGGGTCAAAAGGAAGAGAAAGACTTTGAGACTTCACCAAATTCAATGCAATTTGTTTCATTTTACAGCTTTGGCAACCTTCTTTAGCCACGGACTCTTCTGACTCCATCTAACACATACAATCCTATTTCTAGTAATTTATGTATTAAACTTATTGTTAGGTTAAGTACAGAAAAACCCAACAAACCAACCATCCTGTCAGGTTGTTCTAAATAAAAAGGCACCATTTCAGCACCAGCTTTCATTTACCTGAACCACTGCACTATTTTCCAGTGATACTCAGCCTCTTCCTCATGCTTTATCCATCTCTACAAATTACTATTTTATGATACTGCAGAACCCTCTAGGCTATTCTTCTTAATTCCTTCTGTTTCCTCTCTAAATGTCTCCAAGTGTCCCTTTATTTCCAGCAATTATTTATAGACATCTGTCAGTCCAGGCTCCTTGGCTGGATTGCAATGGATCCAGGCTATTGTGCAGCACAGAAAACAAGTTCCTTTCTTTAATGCAATTCTCAAGCAATTTTGCTAAACCACTGCGGTTAAGATTTTACCCCACCGGGTTTGCAGCATATTGTTGTAAGTCACATAATGTCAAATTTGTTTAAAATAATTTCTGTTAAGTGCCTCCAGCAAGAGAAATGAAGTGGCTGCCAAGTTCATTTAACCCTCCTCCACTTCCCAACCTCTAAAAGCGAGATATCCAAACGTTTCTGCCTGCCTGTGGAATCCATGGGATTGGAGTCACCCTCATTAATGTGCTGAGGGGAGGCTGCTGCAAGACACAGATCCTCAACCCTTGAGCTGGCAGCTGGAAAAATCAGAGATCTACAGGAAATAAACTGGGTCATAACTCAGAAAACAAAAACATGAGAAATCAGCAGTACAGCGAACACAAAACCCATTACAGTCAGTCCAAAAATTGCCATCAGTGTCACTGAATCAGGCTCAGCCATTATTTTCCTGGTACATATATGCTGACTGCAACCTCATACAGAAATGAGAGCTGGTATAAATAAAAAAACAACAAATCAAACTGCTTCTTCTATCTTCAAACAGTTTCTGCTGGTCTTTCAATTTATTTATTTATGATAAATAGTCTCCTAGTTTGCAATTCCTCCAGGAAAAGACCTAATAGAAATCTCAGCACATCTGTGGTCACTTTAAGCACACGTTTGAGTGTACTTTGTTAGGATTTGACTCTGGGCTATTTTCAGAACCATGACAATTTTCCCTGAAAAGAGCTAATTTACTGTAACTAACTATATTATTAAATTTCCCTAGGAATGATATATCAAGAAATAAATCTGCTGCAATATCACCTAGCAGTCACATATTTTTATCATTAATTATAAGGTCTGGCAAGCCCTAGCTTGAAATTCAGATGAATACTTATTGTAATGCAGTTTATATTCTCAGTAATTATAGGCAGGTACCTGCCACTCCAGAAATGTGATGGCACAAAAATTGCAGGTGCCCAAATAACCAGTGGTGTTTACTGTGAGTTTAAAAATCACACACACAAAAATGTGAATGGCCTTAGTGACATAAAAAAATCTATTTAAACACCATCCAAACCATCCTCACTGGGACTGTGCTCAAAAGGCTCTTTAATTATTCATAGGCAGATTAAATAAATACAAAAATCACACACTGTTTCCATGTTTTCTTCAGTTTTTGTGGATTTACATCTGTCTCAAATAGAAGAGAAAAGAAGATTCTTAAAAGGGGCTTGGTACAGGTTTTCACTGTCATTTCTGTGTTGCTCCCTGATTAATGAATTAACATTCAAATCAAATCAAATCAAAACATTCAAATCAAAAAAGTTACGTTATAAAACAATAAAAAGCTGGAAAATATGTGTTACAGCAACACCAGGGAAGTCTAATACGAATATTCACTTGACTTTTAAAATTAAGATTTACATATTTAAGTTTTTGATACTTACTCTCTCCAAGATTTATTTATCAGTACTTCTCTGATATTCTTGAAGAATAGACAAAATCAAAGTTCAATTGTAGAGTCAATAAATGAGTGGAAAGTTTCTAGATAATTCCACTGATTTTGTGACTGATAAAATTGTGGCCTAACAGGAAAATACAGAAGAACCCTGTAATGGATAATTTAAAGTTGGATAAAAACATTGTCTGAATGGTTTAAAAAGGCCCCAAATCCTTGGGATGAGTTTCACACTAGATTTACATCTTTCTCTACATAATTGTGCCTCTCTCTTGGATTTATTTGTATCCATGGACATTTACACTTTGGCCCATGGAATATCAAGACAAATCCAAGATACCTACTTGAGCATTTTCTTATTTTTAGCAGAATTTCAGTGAGTGGGTTTGATTGAGGCTGAAGGTGGCTGTGATAAGAAATAAGGCTATGCATCCAATGCAAAGCCTTTCTTTCTCAGCTTCAAAAATGAAATACAGCACAATTGCAATCCAAAGGGAAGGACTCAGGAATCTGACATGCAAACACATCAGGATTTCTATCAAGCTGTGCAGTGTAACCTTTGATTTGGAACAGCACGACAGCTGGCGGGTCCCTTCCAGCTCGGAATATTCTCTGATAACCTCTGTGATAAAATAGCAGAGCCTGATGAATAATTTGAAGATATGTGCCATAAGTTGTGAAGAACTATGGAAAACAGATGTAAACACCAGGATATCTCGGCTGAGTGGGTGCCATCTGCATAGAGAGCACTGACTGATTCCAGCCAACCCTGATTCCACAGGTTCAGTTGTGCACAAAATAATTTTGCAAGCATTGGTGCTCTTGACACCAGGCAAATGAGGTTATGAAGCTTAATGTGATGAATACCTGGAGGGAAGGGAGGGAGAGAAAGGGAAGGAAAGTTGAGAAAAATTGCTCAAACTTTGGCCAACGGGAAAGGCAATTGAAATGTTAAATGATACCTGAGTCACTACAAAGCAGCAATAGGAGAAAATGGATGAAACTATTACAGAAGGATTCACTGGAAGCTGGGCTGAGAAACATCTCTACTGGACCAGAAGTGTAAACTTCAATATAAGCAGTGGGAAAAAAAAGAAAATCAAGGGGAGTTTATAGATAATAAAAATAGAGAATTGCCAGTTTAAAAATGTACTAGAGACCTGCAACAGAAAAGAGTATTCCACTGGCAGCCATAGTCTCACATGTGAAACATTTCTTGTTTGGCCGAAAAGATCATCAAAATCTTTATTACATGCTTGTCAGATTTGAGGTAAATAAACATTTACCTCAAAATTTTAATCAGGTGAAGGAGCAGCTTGTAATGCATTTCATACCCACAGGATTTTATGAAGATGGTTTCTATATGAAGAATTTTTATGATTTTACATGAAGAACTCTATGTGAAAATGCAAATTTCACCAGAAAACTGACATAATATAAGGGAAGAGTTTAACTTGGATGACTGTACCCACATTCTTGGAAGAATATCTTACTCTTGTAGAATTTCCTCATCAGACAAAATCAACAGGAAGTTTAATCAGAACACTTTCCTTACTAACTTTAATTATCAATGTGTTTTTGTTTTGTTGCAACTGTTGTATCTGTATTTACATCTGTTTATCAGCATTGTTTGGTATTTCAATCTACCCTACAACATTAGTTTATGTTTATTATTAGTTTATTAGTGCTTTCCATTTATTTGTGTTATTAGCCAGACTCATGCTACATAAACAAATAAAAATAACTCTTCCAGTAACTAAATTTGCGGGAAAAAAAGTGAAATTCCCACTCTGCACAGAAATTGTTCATGGTATGTGGTTTGAATCTTAATCATATCCATAGGGCTGTCTTTACTGATTCCAGAGATGAATAAAAAACATGAACCTAGGTCAAAACTCCTATTCCCAACTAATTTCTGAGGGTTTTTTTTCCTTTTTCTTCTATTTTTTTACTGCACAGACTTGTTTTTTGAAAATCATTACCTGTTGTCCTAAAGTCGTGCTGCTCCCACTTCTTTTTCGTGGAGGAAGAACCCAGTGAGCCACAAAATCAGCAAACGTTGTACAACGTGGCAACAATGCATTTATCAAAGGAGAATTTGTTCAGGCACTGTTCCCTGAGCTGTGACTGGCACGGACTCACCTGTGGCAGATCCCTCCATGACATGACCAACGTAGGGGCCCTCCTTGAACATGGGCCTGTTGTCGTTTTGATCGATGACCGAGATGTCCAGGCGGACTGGGCCGTCAATGGTCTTCCCATTCATATCCACCACCTCAACTTCCAGCTGTGTGAACAGAAAAAGGAATGAAGTCATCAGTTCACTGGCACAGTGAGAAGAGAGCAAGAAGAAAGGAGTTCTGATGAGTGTTGGTGTAGCCAGACCCTGCCAAAGACGCCGCTTGCAGACAATTCTTTTGGACCAGGCTCAGAGCAGATTTCTCCTCTAAGCAAAAGAGAGAGACAGACGTACATTCAAACTGAGATATCCCCAGGCAGCTTAAAAATGTCTTATTGCCCAAGGAATTAATAGACTAGAGCTTAAAAAAATCCTCAGAAAGAGACCCCTTGCAAATTTGATCCTAATCATGTGAAGATTTGGTTAGAATTTCTTTGCTTTTATCAACCACACCTCCAATGGGTGCGTATAGAATTATCATGGTGGAATTGACAATGATGCTCTCTCAAAAACCTTTTTAAAAACAAACAGAAAACAAAACCAAGAACAAAAAAGCAGGAATTCTGTAGACATTCAGACATTTTCCCAATGGTGATAGCATGAAGTGTTTGTTAGGACATTTTCAGAGTTCTCTGAGTTTTCTAATCAGGTGTAGAAGAGCGAAAGAACATCTGCAGTCTCAATCAAGTGGGTATATTCACAAGCTGAAGATTTGTTTGGACTTTGTTTACTTCCAAAAACTGGAGAGAAAGATCCCATTGTTCATCTCAACCCTCCAAACCTTGTGCAGTGCAAAGTCCCAATGAGTCACCAGGGCAAACTACACCAAAATTTCTTAAACAACAGAGAAATCAATTCAGATTGCAACTGTGTGCTATGCCTGCAGTTCTCTCCCCTCACAAGAAATCAATAAAATACAGCAATAAACATGTCTGAGACACCACTATCATTCTCACCTGCCCTCCCCATCCCCAGCCTCAACTCTTTAATGGAGTTAAGCCAGCCAGAAAATGAACCTGAGCTCAGACGTTAATATCACTCTCTCCCAGTCTTTCCCTGAGAAAGTGGTGCCAGCAGGGGCTGGGAGCCTCTGAGCATTTTGTTTATACTGTTAATTTATTCTTCATTTCCCTGTCTTATACCTGTATGTTATTTATAACTTAGTGATAAATCCTGCTGGGAAAGAAATAGGTCAGAATCCTAATTCCTTATTAAAATGGATGGCTTATTATCACCTTTCTCAGTTTTTGTTATGCTTGTAAATACCTTCCACTCTTTTAATTCAGTGTGTTGGGTGTGAGTAGGAGTATTTGTTATGAGTGAGACACCTACTTACAGGCACTGTTGGTAAATAGTGTCACAGTCCATTTGAACATCTACTCACTGCTTATCCTCACTTGTCTAGCAATTGTTCTTTAGAGCCTTTCCCAGGCCTTATTTTTTATTATATGGCTTAACAGCTTAAAGGCCGAAAAATATTTTGATTGGAATGATTCCCGAAGCTTTGGCACAGCTGAAGATTTCTGGGAACACCTCCCCTTTAAATTCTGGACTTGTTCTGAACTCCCAAGTCAATGCAGGAATCTTTGCCATGGGATGTGATGGGGATTGGGAAGGGAAAAGTGATCCCATTTCTGAATGACATTAGTCAGATAGAGTTTTAGCTACAGTTGGAATCTGCTGACAAAATGAATCGTAAAATCATTTGGCTTGGAGGGGACCTTTCAAGTTCATCTACTTCCACCCCCTGCCATGGGCAGGGAAACCTTTCACTAAACCAGGTTGCTCCAAGTCCCTTCCAATCTGGCCTCAAAGGTTTAGCAGGGATGGGACATCCACCACATCTCTGGGCAACCCATGAGTGTTTTACCACCCTTATTGTAATTCCCCTCTCCTTATCTCTAGTTTAAATCTCTTCTCTTTTTGTTCAAAACCATCACTCCTATCAAACAGGCCCTGCTAAATGTTTATCCCCAACCTTCTTGTAATCCCCTGAAAGGGGCTCTAAAGTCTTCCTGGAGCCTTTTCCTCTCTGGGCTGAACACCCCAACTCTCTGAGCTTGTCCTTATAGGAGAAGTCTCCCAGCCCTCTGCTGACTTTTGTGGCCTCCTCTGGATCCTCATATCCATATCCATGTCATTCCATCCCCAATATCCGTGTCACTGCTGTGCCAAAGACTCCAGAGCTGGACACTTTCTCATGGTAAAACTGGCTCATCAAAACTATGTTAATTGCTTTGGGAAGTGAAAGAATAGCAATATTTCTCTGTGAAATTCCAGCAAATTAATTTTCAAATTCAAGATAATTTGCTCTTAATCTATCTCTCAGTATCAAGTGACTGTGCTGTTCATTGGAAAGAACAAAGGCTTTGCTAAATTTAAAAAACTATTTCGGCTGCTTTATCAAATTTGTAAGTCATTTAAAACAAAGTCTGATCTAACAGTAGTTTTTGGGGTTTTTTCTCAGACTTGCACAGATTAAGGAAAAGAATAGGAGATTCTTATTAATGACTGAAATAGATTTACTTTATCTTTGCCAAGTCCATCTGAGAGCAACTGTCCAAAAAATTTGGCATGACAAGTCTGTAGGAACAGTTACAAGATATCTTCTTCATTTTATTAAGATGAGAGAGGACTTTATTTTATTAATCTTTGTACAATAATATTCAAACCTATCCTAAGCAGTAAGTTAACTCACCAGCACCTTTTAAACCCATCCTACAATATTTTCAAAATAAAAGTCTGCAGCACTGAAGTTATGGCCATCATTCTTTATATGACCTGTTTGTGAAAGAAGCTGATATCTTACCTGGCTTCCCCATTGAAAAAAAACAACAAAAAACCCACCCCAAATTAAAACAAAAAACAAAAAATCCATAAAATCTACTGACAAAATAACAACAGAAGTACGCTGCTATTTCCAAAAACCCAACACATGCAAGTGAGAAAAGCATTCAAGTAAAAGACAACATTGGCATTTTGAACAGGCTGTAAATAAAACCAGGTGGAAAATTAGATTGTCCTAACTTACAGAACTGCAAGATTTCAGTCTTTCAATGCAGAAGGCAAGAAAGCCTATCTGGTTTTCATGTAAAACTTGACTGATGTATGAAAGATACTGAATTAATTCTTTTGATAACAAGAAATTGTAATGGCACTTTCAGAAAGGGTTTAAGTTCCTACCTGACTATAACAATGCAGCTCCAAGGATATGTGCTAAGCATAAAGACAGAGTTGAATGAATTGAAAGAAAAACAACCTGCAGCGTTCTGTAGCTGTTTATTTTGTGAAAAACCAATGCTTTCCCACTCAAAAGTTATGGAATTATGTTCATGGGGGTGGACATTGGATGGTCCCTTCCAACCCAAAGCATTCCATGACTCGATACTAATTATGAAATTATGTTCATTGTAACCTAACCTGTGATTTTCAGGAACCCTTGAGGCTAAACCCCAATTTAATTTTGACACAAGTCTGCATGCAATCCACAAAGGATAATCAAGGCTTTAGGAGAAATTTTGCACCTCACAGCACAGAACTCCATGACCAGATACAAAGCAGACTTTGGCTGGGGCCTCTGATATAGCTCAGAAACCCTGATCAAATCAGTCACAGCAATGGAACAGGGAAAAGCAACACAAACCCCCAGAGTGCAGGCAGGAATAGATTTTATCCTATCTGGAAAACTCCTACTGAACCCTCTCCCTTCTCAGAATGAACTATTTCTAGACTTCCTATCCAATTTCCCTCAGCATATGCAGAGCAAGGATATTTCATCACCCCAAATATAATGAACTCATCAGAAGTTAAGCTTATTCAAAGTTGCTCATTTTAAGCTTTCTGCATTATTTTAAACAGTCTTGAATCCTTTCTACTCTGCAGTCAGCAATAACATTTACATGAAAAGATAACCAGTCTCGTTCTTACCATTACTTCAAGTAATTTCAAAGGTTTCTCTTCACAGAAGGGTTGTTTTCATTCATTTATTGCTTTTGGTGAAATGGTTCTAGAGAGCCACCTTCCCTCTCTGCATATAAATGTCTATTTTCACTTTGCAACCAGCCAGCCAATGGCCCACATAAAATTACATCATAAATTTGGAGATTTTCATAAGTAAATCTGGAATATCTTTTAGTGCTTAATTATCTTCAAGGCCTAAGACAGGCTATTTAGTCATTACCTGCCATCTAATTTTAATTTCCAATTTGTTGCCCACAGGAATGTTTCTCACAGAATTTTTCCATTTGTTTCAACAGATGGTTTTTCTACTTGTTCCTCATCCTCAGCTTCACAGGAGCACTGCACCATCCAAAATACCAAAATACAACACCACCACCTGTTCCACCTCAGTTATTCTAATCTCTGCTGGATTTATTTATTGATCAGATTAATTATTGAGAATACTTGTTAGGTTTACTTATCATCAGTTTTTAAGTGTGGATTGACATTAAGGAAAGAAAATGGACTTATGGATCTTTCATTCAGGCAATTTCCTGGTAAGAAAAGAAAATTTGGCCATCTCTAGGTCATAAAATGTAGTAAAGAAATTCTCTTTATAGTGAAAGGCTATAGTAAGAATTTTGTGCAATTACCTAACACAACTCAGAGAAGACAATAATTCAGACAAAGAGAAACTAATTACAAGTAATTTTTCCTGATTTAAGAGTATGAATAAAACATGAGTTAATAGTTATATTGCTCTGTAAGAGATGGATGCAAAACAAAAATACCCAGTTTCTTGGAAGTAAACATAATTCTGTCGACCACCACAGCACAACTGTAGAGATGATGGCAAAACCCAACACAATTACTTGTTACTGCATCCATCTCCAAAATTAATTATTATATAGTTCTTATTTTCTTAGCACAACTATCTCTTAACAGTGTTTACCAATTAAATAAAATTTTAAAAAAACCCAAGACTTCTATCTCTCCAAAATGACAAAGAATGAATTCTTCAGTAAAAGTCACTTCATCTTCTTTGATCACTTCAGATACAAAGGTTTGTAGACACATTAATAGAAATTTTAAGAAAAGAAAGAGGAATTTAATATTATAAACACTCAAATATGTGCTTTTATCTCTGGATTTTAAGGCAGTGGGCTTAA